TCCTGACACATTCAGTGATAGACAGCAATAACTCAAACACCTCTTACTGTTAAAAAATTTAAACTGTTTCCTACAAGAATACAAAGCAGGTTATGCTTGTCTTTTTCTTTTTTTTCTCACTTGATATTATGAGCACTGCTTTGTTTAAGCCCTCGCAACAGTAGTCATACTAATAGAAATCATATTTCCACCTGTTTCAAGCTATGAATATTTAAAATTGCATATCAACAGAACAAAACTGAGATGTGATCACAAACTGAGCACTTGCGGTCAATATACTTCACCCGCAGCAGTTTTTAGTCATTTATAACCCTCATGTTCATATCAGAGCTACAATTCACCAATGTCAGTCTTTTAGAGATTTAGTCATTGGTGATGGCGTTATACCAGGTTAGTGTCTGCTTTTATATTTGGTGTCTGATTAATATTTGCTGGTAGGGAAAAACTATTTGTTCACTTCTGCTATTTATACTTTGAATTGCATTTAATTTTTTTTCCACTTAACTGCAAATTAGTATAGACTGTATAAAAATCACACAAACATACTGACAGTTATATCTACTGTAAATTGTTATGGGTCAATGATGCTAATACTTGGCACAAATCCATCAATTTCCCCTTTCTGGCCTTATCTTTCTGCGAATGAATTATATAGAAGCAGTGTTCATGTGTGTTTTTCCTCAGTGGTTAGTAAGGCTATATGTCATTGCACAACAATTAGTCTATTGGGCTGTTTGGCTAAAAAAAGAGAAATCACGGTTTAATTTGTTATTATTATATTATTTTTAAATTTCACCTGTCCTGCTGTGTATAAACTAAGTTATTGAATGGTCAGCGGCTAGGCTAACCTAGCTTCAAATTTGATTAAATTATTTTCTAATCGGTTGCCTATTATGTCGTGAATTTATCCCTGTAATGCATACTACAGTCCTTTTCTGTCTGGCTTTCTCGGATATCTCCCCTGTTCGCCAAAAATGAGTAATTATATCCCTGGCAATGTCTGACATCGGGGCCTACATATTGTAATAGACATACCAGGCACGAAAGCTTGACAGGCATAACAACAGTAACTAAGGAAGGCGGGGCTTACCGAAGGGTCAATTGCATTGCCAACAAACATTTTTTGCTTAACTGGCTCTAGGAAAATTATTACAGTTATAATGAGGATATTTTTTTGTCCTATCAATTCTTGTGCTAGCGTAAAATAAATTAGGAATAATGACAAATTCTAAATAAAAATAAATAAAGGATAACATTTCCATAAAACTATATCATTTAATCATAATTTATGTTTTTGCATCAACACAAAATGACAAAGCAAAACAAAACATGTTAATGGGTAATTCACTAAAAGCTCTCGTATTTTTGCACCACACAAGCAACACACTTTTATCAAATTAAGTTCAGCAAACAGATATTGAAATCTAAGAATAGCAAATGCATCACACAAGGCCAGCAAATGTGATGTTTACACCTGGCAAAATTTATTAAGAAAGATAATGATCATATTTGGGGGAAGGAGTGCTGTACAAAAGAACTGAAAATTGAGACTACATAACAAAACAGCACTACTGAAGATTATTTCAAAATTGCATTGCGGAGACCACCTCAGACACTGTAATGGCACATATAAAAGCTGTAAGAGAGAGTTCCTCACAGCATGAGCTAACAGGGTCCAATATATGGGATGTATAGTCAATAATAAACTCATTGGGATTTAACACATGTCTATGTTCAAAGGTTATTGACGCATCTGCTTTCAACAGAGTTGCATGAGGCTGAACACATGCTGCTTTCTGAGAAGCGCTGTCTGGAGGGGGATGCTAGTGTAATAGATATTTTAATTTAGCAATAATGACATGCAAAACCATCACCTAGTTCAGGATTATACAATCTGGATGACGTGTCCCATGCTACATGGTAATTGTTTTAAATGCCATGTCAGTGAGGAGTTATTTAGTAAGTGTGTGACATGTCACAGAGTTCAGAGAGCTCTGAATTATGCTTCTTGCTCATCCTGATGACAGCTGTTTGAAACGAATATTTCACATCCATGATAGTCATTAAATAAGTCATATTTGCTGGGCAAACACCAGCTGATTATCTGTATTAATAATGTTTGTAAGGCTGAACTTTCAGTCAATGGCGTTATATACAAGGTTATGGCTAACTTTAAACATTTAATAATCTTATTAGTTTCACAGACATGGCTACCAGTGGTTTCTGTAATGAATACGGGCCTTCACATCCTATATACACTGCAATTCATATAATTACTCAAAGAAAAAGACTAACAACATCATGTGTCAAAAGCTGGCTTTGGCTTGCGCTTGGACGTCTTGTGACAGTGTCTGAATGCTGTAGCGATTATACATCACATTGAGTTTGAGTGACATACAAATTACCACTGCGTTTGCCATGCAAATAGCCTGTATCGGCTTATCTGTGATGGATCTGCTAGTTGGAGCGATTGAGAAAGGGATGAATATTAACTAAATCTCCACACAGAATGCAGAGAGATGGTCTACATTGTGTAAGACACAGGACTGGCATCTGTGCTGGAAAGACAGAATGATGCAGTAATCACAAACCATCAATGATGGACTAGCATGACTAGCATTATTAGCGAGGCTGTCCTCTGAGACTCACACAGCCTGAATAGCCGTGACAGAGCCTTGTTATAGTGAGCCAAGCGCTGCAAAGTGTCAGCTGCTCTCATTTCTAATCAATTTTTGTCAGACAATTTGAATGCCCTTACTTAAAAACAAACTGTAAAATTAAAGTAAACTGTAACAATTTACCCTGATGACAAAATCTTATGGGATAAGAAAAAAGTGTTATATTGCATGGGAATATATTTATCAATAGCCAAAAAATACACTGTATGAGTTACAATTCTTTCATTCATTCATTTTCTTTTTGGCTTTATTTGTCCCTTTATTATTCTGGGGCCGCCACAGCGGAATGAACCGCCAACTTATCCGGCTTATGTTTTACACAGCGGAAGCCCTTCCAGCCACAACCCAACTATGGAAAACATCTATTCACTCTCATTCACACACATACACTATTGACAATTAAGCTTGTAATATTCACCTATACCACATGTCTTTAGATCGTGGGGGAAACCGGAGCACTAGGAGGAAACTTACGCAAAGACAGGGAGAACATGCAAACTCCACACAGAATTGCCAACTGACCCAGAAGGGCTCAAACCAGCAACCTTCTTGCTGTGAGGCGATCGTGCTACCCACTGCGCCGCCGTGACACCCGAGTTAAAATAATTGATTTATTTTTATGCCAAAAATCATTAGAATATTAGGGGAAGATTATGTTTCATTAAGAGAATTTGTAAATGTCCTACTATAAATATATCAAAAACTTAATTTCAGAATAGTATTGTGAATTGCTAAGAACTTAATATGAACAATTTTCTTGATCAGACAAGATTTCTGAATTTCAGATAATCATCATAAAGAAAAATGATTAATTAATTTTACTTTTTTTCCCAGTATAAACTTTTTTTCCAACAGACACGCTGTTACAGGCACACACATGCTTTCATAGAAATAACCAACATTTTGTGGTTTATTGTGTGTATGCTTGTAAGTGCTCAAATCCATATGCATGCTTGTGTGTTTACATAACCATCTGTGTATTTGACAGTAGACAAAAAAAAAAAAAAAGAACATGTAATGTAAAGTGACTCTGACAGCCAATGTTCTGTGCATATGCTTTATGCCTGTACACTCAGAAAAACAAATCTTTGACTGTTGTTGCTAGAATAAGTAAAGCACAAGCTGTAAAGACACTGTTCTTTTTTTGGAAAGGGGGAAAGATCAACTCATTAAAATGTAAAGATAGACACAAAACAGTCATTTTGGTTCCTCCTAAAAATGCACTTTTAAAAATGTTGAATGGGGTAACTGCTGAAACTTCATAGACAGATTCAGTGACCTCCTAAAACATACATTACAATTTAAAAAGGCATCATGGAATTCTTTGGAATAATTTTAGGCATAATTAGTTGAGAACCAATGTTTTAGTCATTCAACTTTAAAATGATTAAAATCAACAAATAAATGTGTAAAAATATGTTAGTGAAATTCCTTGTGTAAAAATACAATACAAACAACACTAAAAATCCATCATGCACATCAAATCAGATGTCTAGAATCAGAAAACTCCTTCCCGATTTTAAACACAATTTTCTTCTCCTTATTGAGTCACACAAAACTTACAATTGAATATTTGTGCAGGTTATAAGCTAAGTTAGCCAGCTAAGCTAATATGATGAATGGATAGCTTACAAACTGACACATTTATTTCACATGAAATATTCAACCATAAAGTAATATTTCAGTATTTTTAATCAATCACTAAATTAACTATCAATGGACTTTATGCACAGGTAGTGTTTTTCAGCCAATGATAAACTTTCAGTGAAAGCTTAATGTGGCTATTTTCAATTTCAGGTTCCTTTTACAGCATTGATGCTGTAATGTCATTTGAATACGTTCAGTTTAATAGCGTTGAGCATTCATTTATTGGTTTAAGTGAAAAACAAGATGAAAGACCGTGTAAGTGCTATCTGCTTCAGCTGGCGAATGCAGAAACTCCATTGAAAATACTAGGGTAAAACAATTTGTCATATTTTAAAGACATTGCTATTTGTCTAGAATGAGACCTACTTCATATCGCATATCTATCAGGCAGTAAAGATCACTTTTTTTTTTAAACTGACCTTAAACATGGTGGTTTTATAATGGAAAGACACCATTATAAATAGAAAGAAGCCCTGGGGCTGGCTGGCTGAAAATTAAAAGTCTGTGTGCATATATCACATTCATGGATATCTCAGGCAACAAAACCAAACAAAAAACAAAAACAAATCTATGGCTGATGGCAAGATATAACTGCAACCCAGCTCAAGAATATCCATATGCTATCTAAACAGAAATAAACAATAATAGGTATTAAAAAAAGTCAGAAGTGCCTACTTTCTGGAGCTGCAGGACATGCTGAGGCCTAAGATTGGGTTTACTGGCCAAGCTGGAAGAGTTGAGGTTGTAGTTTTTCAGGCTTCGACTCTCCTTCAAATGTGCCTGGAGCTTTTCCCTCCTTCTCCTGTGGGGGGCAGCATATTTAGATGAGAATACATAATAAAATGGGCTACGGGGATATTTATTTACATAAACAAACACAAGCAGACTCATTCGCATGCGAACACATCACCCATCATCTGTAAGAATATGCTCTGACAGCCAAGACAGCCCATAGTTATTTTCCTGGGAGATAAAATAATTACTGGTGCACTTAAATGTCACTACATCATTGTTTGATTTTTCTTCTGTCAGTGGCTCGCTCATTGTATCATGTGTTTTATTGAAATGGCTGGGCTGTTCTACACACACCCCTTCTTGCTTCAGGAGCTTTGACTTACAGTTTGATGCTTGACTCAACTCATGAGTGAAATATGGATATATACTCAACCACACAGATCAGATCCATCAAAGTTTCACTCCAAGACAGCTATTATTATTCACCTTCCATTTTTATGCTTACAAAAGACAGCATACGCACTCCACGGAAGCTGTTTCTAAAATAAATGCTTTTCATTTTACCACAAAACATTAATTTTCACACCCACATTGTTCAAATAATATCTGAATATTAAAATACTTTTAATAAGTTTTATACTCAAACTAATTAACAACTAAAATATTTGCAATTAATAAATAACAGGATTCCAAATAATGTATCATTTCAAGTTTTTCAGGGTTCCCACTCACTTTAACCCATAGATATATACACTAGATATCGCATACGGACCCTGAGCATGTGTCACCAGCACCGCCACATTTGTGCTCCCAGGACAAATGTCATTCAACTGCACTAGTCAAGACTAAAGCCAATGTGAAGATGCTGGACTTCAGCATTGTGTGAGGGTGTAGTAACGAGCAAACAAAGAAAACAAAGCATAAGGGCAGAACATTTCATAGGTAAGATTTAGTTTTTTACATTTTGTATAATATGAACTTTTGTGCTAAACACTATAGGCTTATGCTAGTTTTGTTGAATGAAATAAGCAAACAATGTAAATAATATATGACAGCATGATACTGCAGTGCTAGAAACCTCTTTTATTGTCATCTAAGTGAATGAGTCGTCCATAACCAGGATTCATTCACAAACAAATCACTCCTTGCATTAGAATGAGAAGTGAAAGCAGGAGAGGGGGTGTGTTTCAGGACACGGATTAGATCAAATTTAACAGGGAGGGTGGATAATACATCTTCGTGCACACAAGCACATGCTCTTTGTCGTCAAAGCTTGTGGTGGTCACTTACCCACCAATGTAAGATATTTATGTAAAATTTGAATTTTCATAATGTAAACAAATATTTGCATACTGTCTAAATACATACTTGTATTTACATATATTATAGATATATGTAAACACGAGTATATATATCATTGCTCTGGATGGCCAGTCTGCACTTTGCACCTTGGTCCCACGCTATCCTGTACTAAAAAGGCGGGTCTATTGACGCATTCCTTCCAGTATACAACAGCTAATGTATGTCTAGTAATGTACAACAGCTAGCGGCATCTAATGTAAATATCTATGACTTTAACCAATGAAATTATTGATTATTTTTGGTGTTCAAAGTGTTTTGGGTGGGAATTAAGGATTTTTGAAAGTATTGTTACTTACAGTTTCTACCATAACATTTTAATAGGTTGGAATAACAAGTACAATATCTAAAATCTTATTGGTAAAGTTTTTATGCATTTTCCTGAAAATTGACACCTGCATTTCAGGGGCTTGAAAACTCAAGCTTTTGAAAAAGTACAAATGATTTTAAAGTGCACTGAGAAAAAAAAGAAAAACCATTATCATCTTCATGTAATCTACAAAACAAAATAAATAAACAAATACATTATAATATAATCACAGAAGTACATAAAGTATGCCTTTTGGCATTAGGCAAATAAAAATGTACATCTACTAATTGTTATTGCGAATTACTGCACTGTAAAAAAAAATCTGTTTGAGTTAAATTTTTAAGCCTATTGAACTCATATTAAACTGACTTAAAACAGCTTGCGTAACTTCTGAAATTATGTTAGAACATGATTAACTTAGTTTAATAAGTTACAATGAACTAAAAACAGGCTGTCAGGACTAATTAATCATATATTTTTTTACAGCATGGTATCATTATGCATACTTGTCACTATTACCAGCAATCAAAGCTTATGGAGATTGCTGGAGAATTACATTGGCCACTACATGAACTACAACAACCAGGATGCTTTGCACCAATCACTCCTGCCACAGCTGACAGTCATTTGGACACACACTCACACACAGCTGCTGTTCATTCCCACTGATTTCAAGGACTATGTATAGAACTCACTCAAATACACATTGCTAAGTCTTATTTTTATTTTTATTTTTTAACCAGAAACTTTAGGAAGTGTTTCCTTGCCTGATTTCAGCCTTGTTTAGTGTTTATTGTTTCTAGCCTTGTTCTGTGTTTATCCTGTCTGCTACTAGGGGTGGGCAAAGCGTGGCTTCAAGAAACACTGAAACAGTTGAAGCAAAAAGTGTCGAAGCTTCGAAACATTACAAAACCCACCTCTATAGTGACATCTAGTGGTCATACTTTGTGTATTGCTCTGGAATAGCTTCAGAAAAGAAACAGTTAAGCAAATTAGGCATTAAACCACACATAGTAGGTTCGAGGTTTCAAGTGGTTTAGGGAAGCGGTGAGAGTTCCTGACTAACATGCAAAGATAATGGGTTCGAATCCAGGGAGATGAAGCTATAGACATTGTTCCAAAATGCTCTGTTCTTGTAACGTGTTTTGTTTTTAACATTGGTCTCACATCCGAATGAAAACTTTGTGAATAAATGTCTTATTTTGGTATTAAAAATGCAACATTATTAAAATACATCAAGTCATAATTTCAGAGTATTTGTACAAGTCGGGATTCAAACTCTGGCCATTTGCAGCACAGTTACTCTGTGCACACACATGGTCCACTGGGCTACATGAGTTTTTGCTCAACTCTCTCAGTCAAACCCAGATTCGCCAGGTCTTGAAACGCTGCTGAAATGACTATTGCTTTAAATTGCTTTAGTCATACAATCTGGTGTTTCGAAACACCTAAGTCACGTGTCCTGGGTGTTTCAGATCATGCTTCGGTGAAGTGTTTTGTGACACTTGTGCTTCGAGATCTCTCAGGTCGAAACGTGAGTTAACGTCAGCTATCCCTACCTTATACCTGTATTCGTCTGATTCTCGAAAGCGCCTTTTGGATTTCCTGCATGTACCTGCTTGCTCTTGTGGTCGACCATTGCCTGAATGACTATTCATGTAAATGAAAAAGCATTTGGATTCTCAACTCAAGTAATTTTATTGTTTTTTTTTTTTTTGTATACTTGTTAACAGTGCTTATTTTGACAGTGCTATCATCTGTACGCGAAACTTTATTTTACTGAAAATATATAGGCATCACATTAATACAGATTTATAAGCTAGTCACCTAAGTAGACCGGAAGCGAGGCAGTACACTAGTTTTTGGTAATTCTTACAAATGTGTTATTACATACAGACAATGGGCAGCTTTGAGGAGTTGAAGAGGACCTATCTAAATCTCCAGCTTATAATGACAGTAAATGTATTTGTCTCAATTAAATACTTGAAACAAGTCTGTAAAAGCTGAATAGCAAAAAAAAAGCACCAGCATTAAAAGCATGCCACGGGCCAAAAATGTTTTAATTCATTCTTGTTGGAAAGGTGGCCAGTAACTGTGGGTGCCTTTATGAGAAAGTAATTATGTCCCCACCTCCAGTCATTATGTTTCAGGGTTTCCATAGCAGTCGCTCTTTCCTCTCGCTTGTTATATTGTGCCCTTCTTTCAAAAGATATGCTCTTGGGAACAGCTTACGCTTTGATTAATTCTGAGGTCCACTTACTTGTTCCGGCAGTAGAGAGCCATGCAGAGGGTGCCTAGAAAGCTGATCCCCATGGCAATACATGTGATAGACATCACTTGTCTTTTGTACACCTCCTTACTCTCTGTTGGGACAAAACAAACAAAGGAATTAAACAAGAAGAGACATGAGAAAAACATTCATTGTTACACTATGCAAGATCTTAGCAAATACTGTATCCTCTATCAATATTGGCACCCATAAATTAGAGCAAAGAATACTGTGAAAAAACATCTTTATTGATTAACATTTTAAAATTTAGCTCAACATATTAACACAAACTCTCATTGACAGCAAACTATTTCAAACAGTTTTATCACAAATATATCTTTATTGGCAACCATTATTGGTACGTCTAATAATTCCTATGAGCAAACTGTTTTAGATTTTGTACCATACATTCCCATTGTTATCTTTAATATTTTAATAAACGTTAGTGAATAGGAAAAAGGATTTTTTTTTTTCACAGTATTTCCTTACTTAACTTAAGATAGCATTAAGATGTATATATATTATTGATTGGCTACAGAACAAACCATTGTTGTGCAATGATTTAAATAATTAACCTAACTTGCCTAGTTAACCAAATAAAACCTAATAAACCGAATTAAAGGTGCAGTATGTATGATTGACATCCAGTGGTCGAACTAGGTATTGCTCTCCTGGATCAAAACACATACAAGCGCAGGTTGCCAGATTGAGGACCAACAGGAGTGTGCATGACTATCCAGCCTAAACGCTAATTTAAATTATGTTCTAAATAACACCAATGGCATATAGAAGGAATATCTTCATATTAGAACAAGTTTTTGTCTAAACCCATACCTGGAATTTCTATTTTACAAATGTTTTTCTATTTTTGAGCCCTGAACTGTCATTGGGCAGGTCAAAAGAACCAAAACAAATAGAGCCATTCCGGCACATAACTCACATATTCAAAGCAGAATATCTGACATCAGAATAGTTTTAGATAAACAAGAAAGTTCACTTAGCATGTTTCTTTGATATCAGCAAACATATTATGTTATTTTTATGCTTTAGAAGAGTCTGAAACTTATACAGCACATTTAAGCCTTTAAATTGCACTTCAAACTAAACACTACTGTAGGAGCCATACATTGTGTTTTGGCGATTGGCCACAAGATGCATAGAAGACTATGGGCCCTATCACACACCCGGCGCAATGTGGCGCAAGGCACGGCGCAATAGTCTTTTGCTACTTTAAGCTTGGCGCAAGGGTCATTTTGAGGTGTTGCGCCACACTGTTTAAATAGCAAATGCATTTGCGCTCAAATGTGCGCCCATAGGCGTTCTGGTCTAAAAAAGCAGGCGTGTTTTAGCGCGTTGCTATTTTGAAAAACTGTAAATAATCTGTTCTTTAGACCAGAACAAAGTCGGTCTATTATCTGGCGCATTTCTTCATCTCGGGAGGCTTTTTCAGTTCATTCAATTTGCTTTTAATGTTATTATTATTAGCAGTATTATTTATTATATCCATACTTATATTTGTTTTATTAAAAACAAGCTTAGATTTGTCTACATGTCAGGTTTTAGACCATATGGGGCATAGCAGGTGTATTTGGAAATAACTCAGTATTTTGACCACACTTTGTTATTATTAATCATTTATTCGTTTGCTGGAAATTAGAACTGAATTTAGAAATAGTTTTGAAACAAATCTTTTCTCTTAACAAATTAAATTAATTATTTATAGGCTAATTGATGTCTGTGCGGTAAGGTTTCCCTATCCACGAGAGCAAAAGCGAAAGTGAACTTACTTTATGTCATGTTAATAGTAATGTGCTTATGGCGCGACGCAGCTGGCTCTTAAAGGGAATGGGAGATGAGACTCTGATTGGTTTATTCTCAAAACACACCTATAACTCATTAAGAAAATAAACTCAACTTTTTTAGACCATGCGCCATGGCGCAAAGTGGATTTTCCCGTCCTTAAGTTAGCAAAAATGCGTTCTGACATGCCCTGAAAGCGATTGCGCCCTGCGTTTTGCGCTCTGCATATGGACCGTCAAAATAGAGCCCTATATAACTGTGGCTTCACTGCATGGAGCAAGATAGTGTTGGTAGGAAGCACACAGTTTTTGACCGTCTCGTACCATAGTGCAACTTAACTTAAGTCAACAAACAACTTAAGGTAACAGAGAAATGTATACAGATTAAGGAAACGTGCTGAAGTAATTCTGTTCATTGGAAAATAAAGACGTCTTTATTTGCATCTATTTTGCCTACGGACTTTGACTTTACGCGTACAAAACTTGCTTTCTCTACCAACAATAGCGGCAATGGAACGCCGCTACAACTATTGTCTTGCAAAATAACAAGTTAGTTATTAAGACTATTATGTTTAAAAATATAGTAAAAAAATGATCTCTCCATCAACCAGCAAATATTTGCTAAATCATTAAACTGTATATATAAACTGAAAATATTCATTTCTACCATCAGGGTAACAGTTAACATATCTATATTTGTGTTTATCTGTCTACCTAACACACTGTCAGGAGGACGGTTTATGAAAAAAAAGATACAATCTGATGTGACCTAAATAAGTATTTTGAGAAAAAAAGCATATACTTTCGTCCCCAAAACAGACTCAAGCTACTGTCTATTATAATTATTATTTTTGGTTAATTTAAAAAATCAAAAGGTTACATGATCTATAACATATTTACCAAGGATGCCAATATAAGTGGATGCCAATGTACTATACATTATGTAGATGCATATGCAGAGAACACAGCTCATTACATCACAAAATATTTGTGGCTGCGATAGAATCAGACAGAAATAAGAGAATAAAACATGGCTAGTTGATCTAATTGGAGCTTAATTTTCCAAAATGCTAGATTGCAATGCAGCAAAACTCCTCTATGTATAAGGCAGGGAGTCATGAAAGTGACTCATTGGAAAAAGGCAAGTAATAGACACTGTTATTTATTTAATTAATTTCTTTTGAGGGGATGGATGGCACAGGACAAGTGCTAAACCCTAAATGGACACTATTAAGTGTGAAAAATAGCAGCTGTCACTTCTCATATGAAGGAGTAAATCACGCTTGTCTTCACAACTGTTAATAGGCAATCAATCAGATTACACTGAGAAACAACACACTCTGGAGCTGCACAAACTTCAGTGTAATGAATGTGTCGACTACATGAGTGTGATTAAAAATCAGACAGTCATATGAGCTTAAGGTCAGGCTCAAAGCAACGTTAGCAGTCTTTCAGTTGGAAATATTATTTTAAAATGGCCACCCAAAGGAATATTATACTTTCTTAATATGAGGCTTGATAGCATTTTTGGTATGTTCATTTTTTTAAAGGTAACAGATAGGGAAGGGAAAATGTTTAGGGGGGGAAATCATTCTGTAAGTGTTATTCAGCAGTGTGTGGTGATTCTTTACTTTAATACTGAATAAAAAAGGGTGAAATTTCTGCAAATAAATTTTTATAATGTACTTTTTAAATGATAGAATAAATTTGTTTGTACACTGTTTTATTATCAATACCATTTCTTTATTAATTTATTAAAATACATTTAAAAGGGAACCTATTTTACCCCATTTACATGAGGTAAGATAAGCCTTGTGTGTCGAATGTATCTGTAAAGTTTCAGCTCAAAATACACATCAGATAATTTATTATAGCCTCCAAAATATACCCATTTTGATGTCTGAGTACAGTGTACAGTAGCCTGTGACTTTAAACGCAAATAAGCTGCTTCTATCTGCCCACTGCTACCACATATATGTCTGCTTCTCATGCATTACAGCAGATAAACAACAGTCTGTGATAGAGACAGTCACAGATGAAGTTAAAATACAGCTCATTAGTCAAAAGTACCAAATAAGTTTATTCCATGTATTTGTGGTGGAGTTTCTTCAAGTCTTTCTGAAATGATGGGTCATACACAAAAGTCATTTGGAGAAATCACAGAGAGTTGGAACACATATTTTAATCCTAGTTTAAAAAAATTTCCGTGGACATGTTTATAGAAGTTTTTTTTTATAAAAACATGGCCCCTGCCAATCAATTTGATAAGCGGGGAAAACTGCACTTCATGGGCCTCAAAATCACTGGGATTTGGGTCCAGTTTTAACCTCAGAATTTTGTCTTTATACCACTCCCAATACAATTGTGGACACACTACTTACACACAGTTCTGTTCAACAATATGATTTTCATCATAGGTGCCTGTAAGCTTTTTAATTAGAAAAAAATATTATTGTTATTATTATTATTATTATTATTACTACTACTTTATATTATTATTTAAGTTGTTTTAGTACATCAAGCTTACCTAAATGAAAAATTTGAAATAGTTCTTGGTTCAGAATATTGAAACTGAATAAAATGAAAATATGTGGGTGAGTTTATTTAAAAACAGAGGTTATTATAATTTATTCTATTATTTCAATGAATATATATATATATATATATATATATATATATATATATATATATATATATATATATATATATATATATATATATATATATATATATATATATATATATATATATATTTTTTTTTTTTTTTTTTTTTTAATTATAAAGTATTTTTAGGTGAAAACCGAAGTGGACACTGATAAAGGTGAACATTTCTCATCTGTCATTTCTCATTAAACAGTTTTTATTTAGCTTAATGTTTTAATTAACATACAGTTGCAGTCAGAATTATTAGCCCCCCTGTTTATTTTTTTTTCAACACATTTCTAAATATAATAGCTCATTTCTAATAACTGATTTATTTTATCTTTGCTATGATGACTCAATAATATTTGACTATATATTTTTTCAAGACACTTCCACACAGCTTAAAGTGACATGTAAAGGGTTAACTGGGTTATTTAGGTTAACTAGGCAGATTAGGGCAATTTATTTTATAACAATGGTTTGTTCTGTAGACTTTCGAAAAAAATATAGTTTAAAGGGGCTAATAATTTTGACCCTATTTTTTTTTTTTTTTATTTAAACTGCTTTTATTGAAGTCAAATAAAACAAATAAAACTTTCTCCGGAAACCGAAATATTATCAGACATACTTTGAAAATTTCCTTGCTCTGTTA